CACAGCAGTCTGTGGAAATAAAACAACAACAACAACAAAAAGTATTCTGATAGTAGCTAACAGATGTCAAATTATAGTTGCATACAGGAGAATCATCAACATTAAAACCTGTATCTAGAGTAGGTATGAGCAAACTTCTGCTAAGACTCAGAGAGCAAACAGTTGAAGTCTTGCACAATATGGTCTCTGTCAACTATTCAATTCTACTATCCTGGTAAAGGTAAAAACAGACTATATAAATAAATGAGCATCACTATGTTCAAATAAAGCTTTAATTACAAGAAAAGCAGCCGGAGACGGAATGGTGGGCTTTGCAGGCATCACTAAGGCAAATCAATTTTATCAAGAAAGGGAACCTGAGGGTCTTTCAGCAGAGGGATGGCAGCTGCTCTTGAAAGGCATCAGCATCTAAAAGCATTGATTCAGTTACTGTCTGGGGAATACCCCATGATGGAGAAGGAAAGCAAGAACATAGGAAGATGCCACCTAAAGATGGCAGTTCAGAAATCACTGCAACAGCAGCAAAGCTTGTCTTGCATAGGCATGAGAGCAACGACAAGGTCAAGACACAATCTGAATCTGATTATTCTTAGAAGTTATAACCACAACTTTCTAATGGATTTGACAGTAGGGTGAAGAGGAAGACTCAAAGATGAGCCCAAAACTTATGACTCACAGAAAAATAGGATGTTTACTACAGCTAAGATGTAGAGGGCAGCAACTATTTTGTACTGGGCCACAAAATAAGGATTTTAGTTTTGAAAATACTAAGATTGAGATAAACACTATCTATTTGTGTGGAGATATTAAATAAACAAGATTCTTAAGTTCAGAAAAGAGGTTGTGTTTTACAAAAATCTGAAAGTAAAGGCAGGAAGAACAAGAATTCCTGGCCAGCCTCTGCTATGAGAGGCCATGCTGAGTCACGAGCGACCCTTTCTCAAAAATAAAGTACCCTAGCTAGAAAGTTCAGCAGTCCTTTACAACTCTAGAAAATAAAATGGGTCCATATAATCTAACCAAAGATTTGCTTATACTATTTTTTGTCAAACTTACAAACAATACTACTTCTTTTGCAGGTTACACAGTAAAGTCTAGACCCCAGTGACAATCTCCTGTTTTGCTATCTGAACCTCCAATGTAACAGAATAAAAGGTTTTGCTGCCCAATGAAAGCTATTGTTCTAGAGTGGCAGTCTTCACGAGCAGGTATATTTTCAGAGTATTCCGAAACACCCATGAATTTTTGTTACAAATCACCCGATGAATGAAACACATTTGCTAAAGTAGGTCTAAAATAACTGCAAATTCTTGGGGCATAAAAATGTGAGCCTGGAAAACCTGGCAAGGAGAAAACTCTCAAAAATAATGGATAATGGAGCTGGAAAGATGGCCCGGTGGTTAAGAGTGCTCACTGCTCTTAAAACAAAAAAACAACAAACAAACAAACAAACAAACAAGTTTGGTACTCAGCACCCACCGTAACACCTGTAACTCTAGGTCCAGAAGACCCAACTCCTCCTTCTGGCCTCCTCTAGGACCCTTACACACACAGCACACAACCACACACAGACACATAATAAAAATAAAATAAATTCTAAAAACAATAAAAAAAAAACCCCTAGCTTCTTTTGGAGAACTAATATTGTTCCTGATCATAAATAATTCCTTTTCTTTTTTAAAATAGCAAAGATAAATACATTTACAAAAAAGAAGAATTTAATGAGATGGGAGTTGAAATAATAGTTAAGTAGAGTCTATTCTGAGAGATGTAATGACTTGGAAGGGAGTATATATCTCGAGACAAGCTCCTGGTGTTTGAAACACAACACCTGTTTGAAACAGGTGATCTACTTAGCCTCCCAATTGTGTAGTTCTCCTATCAGACAAACACTGCTACTATCTATTTAATCGTCATAATTTTCCTATCAGACGAATATTGCTACTACCTACTTCATTGGGCCACAATTGCAGGGACTAAATAAGTTTGTCCTACAGAGCTTCAGCAATACTAAGTAAGTACAGAATAAATGTTCCAACAGCATTTCAGCCTTCTGTCCTGCACTTAGAAACATCAAAGTCAATGGAACACTCCTGGGGGAAAAAATGCCTTCTAACTTGTTCATTCATTGGACATATAAAAATTTGATAAGCATTTTATTTAAACAGAATATTCAAAAACTTCACAGGTTATAATTTTCTGGTTGTCTCCACTGATTACTCAGAACAGGGATTTTGATCTAAACCTTTTAGCCCTGATATTCATATTCTAGTGACTTTAACAAAAAAACTAGTATATATAAATTGAGGTATTTATGAACATAATAAGGATGCCTTTTTTGTTCTGTCTTTTGACAAAACTCTTTCTGATCTGAAGTAGACTCTTTTTGCTAAAACAACTCAGATATCACTAGAATGTCTCATGATATGAGAATAGACATGTGAGGATAAAAGTATATGACATATTGACAATTTTGAAGAATAAAAGGATACAATGTTCATAAAGAAAGCCACAGCAGAAAGACGAATTACCTGATATGAGGCTATCATCTTCACATCATCCCTATCAGCTAACAATTACTCTGTGTCTAGGACTATAGCAATATATGTCAAAAATCCTTTACATGGCTGAGCCAGATTCCACTATCAATGGTAAATAATGGACTAATAGACTATTGGGCAAGTTCTCTCAATAGAGTAATCAAGCTATCATGGTTCAAAATGAAGAGACAATGATGAAGATGAACTTCAATTATTAGCTTACATGAGGTATGAATAGATGTAAAGCTGGTTTGAACAGACATGACAATTGTATAATTTGATAGGAACACACAAAATTTAAAGTAGAAAATTAAGGTCTAGTTATCAAAGCAGAGTATATGCTGAGTAAAGAATGGGGCCATCACATCTTTTATCAGAAGCTGTGTGATAACAACCGTATGACTGGGGGAAGAGCTAACACAGTACATCTGCTTGTTATTCTCAATTCTACACTTCTACACTTTACTATGTAGGAAGAAGTTGATTAGAATTAAGTTGCTTTATTGTTATTGTTTGAAGAGTCAGGTACCCTTCTTTGTGTTTCAATCTACATTATATTGGTATTTCTTGATACAGATAAAGGTTCACCTTGACCACTGGTGAAGGTGGTGTCATGAAGGTTTCCTTCATGAGGATTTTTGACGTACATTGCTATATATTACTACTATTTCTTATGTAATGAGCATCTCTAAACAAACACTTTAATACTAAGTAAATATAGTTTCTCTTCAAACTGAGGTGATTCTATAGGATTTTAGAAAGAAATATGATGTTTTTGATATATTTAAACTCTATTTGTTGAAATATATTTTTCTTAATTCAAAATACAAAGTTTCTTTTTCCCACAACAATGCTGACCGGCCAAGCACAGTGTACCCACTGGCATGTTCATGGCAAGTTTGGTGTGGAAGCAGCCAAGTGCTTTCTAACTGGATTTGAGGTCTGCTCTGCAGGACAGAATTCACTTCAGGTGCTGTCCACCTGACCAAAAGCTGATGACTTCAAAAGTCATAGGAGGAAACTACAGCAGTTATTGTGCTAAATGGACATGATATGGCTATCACAATTACCTCTAAAATTTTTCTTTGCTTGTCTTCAAAATAATCATGCCTATGCCCCGTGTTGGTTAGTTTTAAGTCAACTTAATACAAGATGGAGGACTCTCTACTGAGAGAGAATACCTCAGTAAGACTCTATAGGCAAGATTTCTGGGCATTTCCTTGACTGACTGATGTGGGAGGGCCCAGTTCACTGTGGGCAGTGCTCACCCTGGGCAGGTAGTCCTAAATAAGAAAGCAGGGTGAGCAAGTCATGAGGAACAGGTCAGTAGGCAATGCTCCTTCATGTTCCTTCCCTGACTCAGGTCCTGCTGACTTCCCTCAGTGATGGAGATGACCTGGGAGTTGTGAGTTGAAATAATTCCTTTCTTCCCAACTTGCTTTAGATCATGCTGTCAGCTCTGCTCAGAGATGCTTTTTGTCCTACTGATGACCAGATACTGGAGAGAGTCACAGCTGGCCAAAGCATTGAGAATAAGTGAACGTTAAATGTTCAGCTGTAGACGAGACATCTACATCACCCTCTCCAAGACTTGGGAAACATCGTGAAATAGAGGGCATCAAGAGCACAAGAGCCAGAGGATGGGGCAGAGCTAGGGGACACTTTTCTGGGTATCAAGGACTATTCCCTTGTAAACTCAACAAAGTTGTGATTACCTGATGAGACCTGTTCAAAATTGGGTTCACTGGTACCCTGTCACGACGTGGGGAGGATTTAATAATGTCCAATCCTGCCTGAAGAGTTATTGGTAGATAATGGGTCATGGAATGGTAGTGGGAGGAAGCATCTTTTTTAGTGGTAGCCACTGGTGGAGTAAATAACATCTCATCTACTCATGCTCTTATAGGCAACCAAAATGAAATTCATTGGATCACCACTACCAACAACAAAAACAAAACAATAAAATCAAACAAGAAAGTAGACGGGGAACTCAAAGGCAAGAAAAGATAAATTAGTTGGAATATCTGGAAAAGATAAATTAGGCAGGAATAATGGGGGATGAATATCATCAAAGTGTACTGTATACATGTATGAAGAGATTACAATGAAACCCACCGTAAATTATACAATTAATATGTTTTATACATATACATATGTATAAAACAGCTATTATTTTTAATTATGTGTATATGTGTGGGTATGTGATTATGTAAATGTGAATGTCTGTGTCTGAAGAGGACAAAGGTGTTGGATCCTGCTGAAACTGGAATTATGTGTCACCTAATTTGGGTGCTAGGGCTCAAACTTGAGTTCTCTTGAACAACAGTATGTGTCCTTAACCGATGAACCATCTCTCCAATCAAATACAAATTCTGCAAGATTGTTTTGCTTTCTCAGTGTAATCAGCTAATATTAACCAACCATAATATCAAAGAATGACATAACTGAAATATTACTTACATAATTACGGCTTTTAAAGGTATCTGATGAACTGGTAGTGAGGATTTTATCTCCTTCCAAACCAATTACTCTTTTACAAATATTTGATTTTGGATCACTTGGACTTTTTGCAATTACAACATCACCTCTGAAGGGGGAAAAAAAGGAAAAGAAGTATCAGTATTATTACCAAGCACACACAGGGCAGCTTTAATAATTTCATAAGGCAACTTAAAGATATACACACCCACACTTTATCCTAACATTTATTGACCCTGCCATACATTAATCATGTTTGAAAACCATTATAACTGAAGTTAGGGTCAGAAGCCAATTGAAGTCATAAAAATTCCATATAAAATTACTGATGATTTCTAATAACCTCATTAGAATTATATCCACTATGTGTTATTTCTGTATCCAAATAATTACAAATAAAAGCTATTAATAGCTGACTCTAGAGCACTAAAAATGAAGAAACATCATCTATTTCTCAAAAGTTCAAAATTAAAGAATACTATATAAGCTATATAATTCATTTAAGTCATAGTTTACAGTGTAGACTTACTTTTGAGGGAAAATTGGACACAACCAAATAAAACACTAAAAGCTAAAAAACATATACTATAAAATAGGATATGATGTTAAATATATAAAATATTAGTTTTCTTACTTACAGAAGGCCTTAGTCACGTAAAAAGTAATATTCTACATAGTGATAGCAAAATAAATGAATAAATAAAGGTTTTATTCCCGACATGGTGGTGTATGCCTGTAATCCCAAAAATCAAGAAGGGAAGAAGTATAATTTGGAGGCTGGTATAAACTACAAAGAAAATTCAGAGTCAATCAGAGCTACACAGTGAACCTATGTTCCACAACAACCATCCCTGCTTACCTATCACACCCTTGGGGTCGGGAGGTGAAGGGTGGATGACTAATATCCCAACCAAACAGAATGTAATGTTTTGTCTTTTCTGCTATATGAATTGTGTTAACATTTTTCAATATTTAACATATTTACTAACTGTATGTGATTCCAGATATAATTTATTTTTTTATTAATTTATTTATTATGTATACAGTATTCTTAGTATTCTTCATGTATGCCTGCAGGCCAGAAGAGGGCACCAGACCTCATTACAGATGGTTGTGAGCCACCATGTGGTTGCTGGGAATTGAACTCAGGACTTTGGAAGAGCAAGCGGCGCTCTTAACCACTGAGTCATCTCTCCAGCCCCTCCAGATATAATTTATATACTTTCATGTCATTTATAATGAAAGATACAAATGTCAAAATAGCATAAAATCTATAGCAATAAAGGGAAGCTTATAATTCAAAAACGTAATCATTGGGCTAGCCAAAGCAAATGCCTATTTTGCCAGCATTTAGGAGGCTGAGGGATGTTCAAGTCCAACTTGGGCTATGTGGTAAGGTGAGGTGAATCTGGGCTGCAAGATAAGACTTTGTCACAATAAACTAAAGTAGAAAAAAGAATAAAGAAGCATGATTACTGCTCTACTGCAAGCACTCAACAACTTCTAAGCATTTTGGTAGCCCCCACCCCAAATGAGAGAGTGGTGGATATGGTTCAATGGTAGAGTGGCTTGTCTGGCATACAGGAAGCCCCAGGTGTGGTCCCCAGCAACAAAAAAAGGACAAAAGAGGAAATTAATTAGTTACCATTAATAAAATTAGGTTTAGGGGAAGGTAAGACAAAAATTTTCCCTAACAGCTAAAATCAAGGAGGAATTCATAGGCAGGTTTTTATGTAAAAGAAAGACATTATTTTTATCAGAATTTTACAGACAACACAGAAAATAGTATTGGCAACAACCACACCACGAGACCTCTCTTTCTAAAGCTCAGTGTTATCAAGTCATTCAGTTCTCTAAACGTCAGTGGAGCGGTTCACATGAAAAACTTTGCAGACTTTTAAGCTATGAAAACTGATCTAGTGTGTCTTTGAAAGAAATCATTTTCAAAGGTGCTTATGCAGCTTATGATATTTGATGCAACAGTCAATATAACCCTTAAAACAAAGTCGGCACCTAACTAGATACTCTTTCAACTCTTGCCTCCTTTAAAGGGACTTTGAAAATCCACTAACAAAACCAGAACTTAAAATTTCCTATCCCACTATGGCTATTGTTGGTGCAGTGCTTTGCAACTCCCAGAACATTGGAGGCTGAGGCAAGAGCATCATTACAAATGTGAATCCAGTCTGGATGAGATAGTAAGCTTTGGGCTAGCATAGGCTACTCTATCGCAAAAATTCCATAAATAAATTATTAAAATTAAATATATAGTCATAAACATCCTTTCTGCCTACTAGATCAGAAAAGCTGTTCAAATGCCAATGCCTCACTCATGGTATCACTGCTAAAATCTGTAACATACCTTATAAAGTAGATGCCCATTAGATATTTGTTGCAAGATTTAGTAATAGGAGATTGATTGTCCCAAGTAAGAAGAATCCCTGAAGGTAAAGGACAAGAGGCTTGTGTACTTTACATAACACACAAGCAGACTTCTATTCTTACAGAAAACAGAAGTCTGCTCTCCCCTTCTAAATAAGCAGCCATCAATAAGGGTCAGAAATTCATCCCACTGACTCAGACCTAAGCTGAAGCAAACAGAATGTGGGGAGTAGTATTTTCAAAGTAGCAGTCAGAATCAGCTGCCTACCTTGGTTCTAAACGTGATTTTTCCATGTTTCAAATGAGTGCCAGATTCTAAGGCACACTACACACTACTGAGACTCCTGAGTGAACAGAGCACAAAAGCAAATTGTCAAAGAATCTTAATTTCCTGAATGTACTTATTGATATTACTTTCCTGATTGCTAAGAGTATTGTAAATAAAACAACACTGAGCTATTTATTCAAAATCTACTCACAGTCCAGCACACTGTTAAGGACATTTAAGAGTTACCACGTCACTGGAATTCAGCAGCAGCTTGCCTTCAGGCTACAGGGAGGGTGAGTCACTAGGCTATTTTGGTAAAAGCCAAAAGGTAAATGTTGTGTAAATTTTAATTTACAATCCCAAATCTACTAGTATGTCTCTTCAGGTTATTACAGCTAAAAGAACTGAACAACTTCCTGGGGACCCTAGCAAGTCAGACAGCTCAACTAAAAGAGTTTTGTGAGCAGCATCAAGGCTGGGCGAGAGTGCAGGCAAAGGAAAGGAAGCCCATACTGTTCTTCATTTCCCATATGGGAAATGGGCCACAACAAAGGAACAATGAGTGTCTCGCCCTCCTTTCTATACCAAATACCACAAGTGGGAATCACTTGTAGATTACGGAGATAAAAGCTGATACAGACTTTTTCTAATTCTCTAACAGTTTTTAGAGAGGTACAGTTTAGAAAAAAAAAAGCTGCTACTAATATTTGACATCTACTCAAAAGGAACTCAAACTCACAATGTCTCTTGAGATAAACAGGAGCACAAGGTTTTGAGCCACTATTTGGAATAGGGTTCTGGAAAATTTAGTAACAATTTATTTTATTTGCCAAGAAATTATTCAACTTAATATTTAATTAATTAATCAATCTGGAGAACCATATCAGACCAAATTCAATCCCAGGCACACACCAATCCATAACCTAGAAATCACTGACTCTGTCTCTGCACAAAGAATAAACAGGACTGTTATCACTGGAAGTACAAAACAACTAGACATCTGGCGTGGTGGTAATACAGGCCATAAGGCCCTTGCTCCTGAATTAAAACACTTTGGGAACCTAAAAGAGAACAAAGCTTTCATATCTATTTAAGAAGGACTGCTGACTGCCCTGGATGATAAGGAAAGGGACACAGTGACCACAGTGTATGTTTTGACTACTGAAACGCTCTCAAACATAGAGAAAATACTCCATTGAAGACTCTTGTCTACTTATTACTTATAAAAGGATCTAAAACACAAAGTTAGAAGTTACAGAAGAATATACTTTATATATCTTTCACTATAGTTACATTCATTACAGAAATTTACCTTTGGATAGCATAAAAATGTCGGCTAAGATTTTCTGCAAAGACAATATCTGAATTTTGAATTGTGGGTTCCATTGATGGTCCAGAACACTGAAAAGAAAGGCAATCTTCTGAGTTCAAATCTCTTTAAATTTAACAGAAACTACTTGGGCAAATGTAAAAGAAAGGAAATTGGGTAAATATTCTTCCTGAAAACAGACCATATTATAGTTGTTTGATGTTGCTTTGTAAGATACACACAAAGTAACACATCTCTTTTCCCAATTTTTGGCCACCCTAAACTCCACTGGAATACAAGGACCTGGTCTCAGTTTTCCAGCTATGTAAGTTTCCATTCTCAAGAAGAGTGATGTTAATGTTTGATACATATTTGTTGCATAAATGATGGACTTCCTTGGTTTTCTGAAACATCACTTAGTACCTGTTGTGGCAATTTTTAAAGCAACATTATCCTGTTCATTCTCTGAGAATTGATATCCTTCTTCCTTGTCCAAGAAAATGCTTTCTTAGTATGACGGGGCTGTAGCTGACATTCTCAACTGAAAACTACTAACACAATTAAATGTACTCTAAAGCTATTTGGGTCTGTCTGCCTGAAAAGAGCAATCTTGATATCTGCCTAATTTTGAAACTCTGATTTCCATTTCATACAAACAACAGTCTGAATCTACTCTATCACTGACCTGTAAACACAACCCTTTACTCAAAACTTCCAACTTAGGCAAAATAATAAACATTCAAATAAAATGATAAATAACCACGAAGTTTAGGTGTGCTACTTCTAGAAGTACTAATGTCATTGTCAAGACTTACATCCTTCTCTTCAGCTCAAATAAGGGTTATTATAACTACAAATACTTTACAGTAGAACAAATAAAAAAATAACAATAGTCCAAAAAATCCTATTGGCTGTCCAGTCAGTCAAATATCGTTTCACTCACTTAACAAAGATTTGAAAATTCTGAATTTTCAGATTTGTGATGTGATACTGAGAAAAGCATTGCTTGGGGAAAGAGCCAGTATTAAACATTTTGTTACTAATCCTAGCAGAATAATCATTTGCTTTAATGACAAACATGATAGTTATGAGTAGTTTTTAGAATCAGAAAATTTGTGTTGAAATTCTACCTCTTTCACTAACTGTGGGACCTGGACTGAGTTAGTTTTCTGAGTATGGGGGTTTCTTCTTGAGTAGAATGAATTCCTCACGCAAGTGCAACAGACTATGTAAGGTAATAAGTTTATAGCATTAACCATATTATAGAAAGACAAACAGCACTCAAATGATAACTACTTATAATCAGGTTATCAAGAGACTGTATCCTGCTAAATATAACATAAAAGTAATGATGCAATGGCTCTTACATTTTATTCTGGTGCTGAAACAAACATACTGCTTTTGCTTGTTTGCTTGCTTTTTATTATTTACATTGTGTGTGTGTGTGTGCACATGCACGTGTGTTTGCATGCATGCATGAGCATATGTGTATATGTTTGTACTTGCCACAGAGAATCAGTTCTCTTTCCACCATGTGGGTCCTGGGTATCAGACTTGGCAGCAAGCACATTACCAGCTGAGCCATTTCACCAGCCCTGATTGCTTTGAGACATTCTTGTTTTATTTTGTGGCTGTGGAAGGACTGGGTGGGGGATCCTTGTGACAGAGTCTTATTATGTGTCCCAGGGTGGACTTGGAACTCAGTATGGAGCCCAGCCTATCCTTGAACTAACAGTCCACTGCCTCAGCTTCCAGATTACAGGCTTCTGTCACTATACCTTGTTCCAAACATACCCTCTCTTACATCCCAATATTTAGAAAGATTTTATGTTTTAATTTTCATGAAATGACTTCAAGCAAAAGTTTTTTTAAAAATCCATGTCTTGTTCAGTTTAAAAAAAAAAATCTGTGTTTTAAAATGAAATCCCTGAATATAGAAACTTACCATTACAACACCACCAACGTATTCAAAAGCACAATGAGCTATACACCCATATTGAATGGTATAGCCAGCAAGTCGAAGGGCCTTTCCAAGAACACCACGAAGCATAGTTCAATGTTGATTCTGCCACCACAGGCCTGATGGTGAATTTCAAAAAGTTTCATGATCAGCATTCTTAAAACAATTCAGAAAGAGCTCTATTGTAAAATGTCTCCATATACACAGAATGCACCGATATAAATCAGTTTATCTTCATCTGTTACCATCATTTAAGTCACTGATTCCATGATGTAGATAACCAGCATCTCAAAACAACCTTATAATCGTATTAGTAAGGGAAAGCACCTTAGATAAGAACGAGCACACCAAAACAACTCACTCATTCCTTGAAATCTTTAAACAATGTAACTTCAGACACTACCAAAATCATATAGAGCCATTACTAACATACAATTTAATCCCCCTCCCCCTCCCCCTCCCTCGCTGGAACACTTCTGCAGGCATGCATTCACATAATGTAACCTTAAATTTTTAAAATAGCATTATTTCTAGAGCATGTGTCTTCTCTGAATCTTAATGCCCTTAGCTGTAAAATGGCTCAGTGTCAGCAGCACTCATTTCAGTTATTGTGAGCCTTTTATATATGTTCCTTGAGTTTCCTTGTGAACTAACTGAACTTCCCAAAAAAAGTCACACTCCAGGGTTAGATTCCACAGGATTGATTGATAAGAAAGTCTTCATTGGAGAGAGCTGGAATGTTTCAGATTCACAACAAAATGATTTTTGACTATCAAGAATCAAACATTGTCCACCTTCTCATCTGACCTAACATCTGTTGATAATAGGTAAAATCTTTGGCATGTTTCCTTACCAGACCACTGGCTTCCACCTACCCCAAATCTAAACATGCCATCGACAGGATGTGAAACATACGGCAGAGCTTTCCTTACTTTACTATCATCCACCCACCTGATACCCCACTGATGTTTTCAGTAAAATCCTTGATTTATGACTTCTGTTTTGTCCTGTGACTACAAAAGTCCCTGTAATTAGCCCAGTCCCAAAGGACATCTACAAAACAACTCCCTCACTTAAGGCTCCAGGGTCACTGTGGAAAAGTGGCGGGGTGAGGGGGTGGATGCAAAAGGCAGAGGATTAGGGAATTTGCAGTGAGTCTATCTCTTAGGATGGTCAGAAACTATACACATAAAGTTTCAGCAGCAGGACTACCTACACATGACCTGAACAAAGACAACAACGATGAACAATAGGCATGCCAAAGTGGGGGTTGGGGGGTGCACAAAGTACCAATGCTGTATAAGAGAACAGGAAACTAAAGAATGCTGAGAGGAGGAGAAAGTCTTATCTGGGAAGAGCACATCAATTGGGGCTATCCAATACCAAACAGTCAGCTCTGAAAACATGATACACATATGCTATATACATCATACAGACCGAGCTAGTTACATTCAGGAACATATAGGCATATACATATACGCATGCAACAACAATGAAAATAGAGGTCATGAATTTGAAAGAGAGCAAAGAGGGATATATGAGGGTTTGGAGGGAGGAATAGGAAGGGACAAATGATATAATACTCAAAATTAAAATCCCCCCATGTTCCTATAATTGTCTGCAAACAGGAACATGCTGTTTGAGGCCATTTCAACCTTTTCTGAGTCTCATCCACTTATATCTGGTACAGAATAAGCCACCTCTTACTCCATTATAGATGAGCGTGCTATTTAGTGTTAACAGTTTCGGAACCCAACAAAAGGCCCTATGGAGGTGCTCACCTCAGTTCAAGATGATCGCTACTGCCTGTTAAGTCTCAAATTCTGGCACAAATGGCTGAGATTCCTATTTAACATATCAAAGCTGACCTGGCCTCAAGGTTCTCCCAGCATCTCTCAGTCCCTACCTATTACAAGGTATGCCCACCCTGTATTCTACTCTGAAATCTCCACCCAGGGACTGGGTTGCTGTTTCCCCCAGAGGATCTTCCCTATAGACATTTTGGTTACTTGTCCCTTAAAAAACAAAACAAAACAAAACAAAAAAAAACCACAAACATAAAAACAGAACAAAACATCTAAAACAAAACTATAAGTCCTCTAGGCTGCTATACCTGGTTCGACTTTCTCCCTTCTCCCTTTCCCTTCCAGCTCTTCTCACATGGCTTAGGGTCATGCCTACTCTGGACTCTCCCAGATGTCTCTGCCTCTTGCTGTTCTCTCCCTTTGGCTACAATAAACTTTCTCATCCATTATACTGAGGAGCAGCCTTACCCTTCCTTTTTATTTTTTTTTTTCATTCAATTGCTGCTGCCCAAGGGTGTAGTCTCACCTCAAGCATGAACAATCTCCTGTGGAGGAAGTTCTACAGGAGGAGATTTTGCTGTCGCTGGACTCCAAGACAACTGCAGGTTTAAGACAATGACTTCCCTGTGCTTTTAGCTTTTGGGTGATAAATTAGATAATATCAGGTACTTCCTGATTGGTTAACATGCTTTAAGTGTACCAACCAAAAAGAAATGAGATAGGTCTGTGGGTCAAAAGTGATAAGTCAATGCTTTTTAGAAAGGATAATTTCTGAGTGCCTGTTATAATACAACACCATTAAAGAACAGATCAAAGCCAGGCATGATGTTACATGTCTTCAATCCAAGTACTTGGAAAGCAGAAACAGGAGCATCTCTGTGGCCAGTCTGATTGACATAGTGAATTCTATGAAAGCCTGGACTACATAGAGATCCTGTCTCAAATAGAGTTGGGACACACACATACACACACACACCACACACACACACACACACACACACACACACGCCCGGTGGGACGCGCCCACGCGCGCGGGGGGGGGGGGGGCGGGGGGGGCACAACAGATCATTTAGCCAGGAAGGGCAACGCACACCTTCAGTAACAGCATTTGGGGAAAAAAAAAAAAAGACAAATTAACTCTCTGAGAACTCAAGGCCAGCATAGCCTACATAGTGCTTTCAGGCTCTCCAGGGATAGTACATACAGAGCTATTAAAGGTAGGAAAGAAGAAAGAAAGGAGGGAGGAAGGTGGAAGGGAGGGAGGGATGGAGGGAGGAAGAAAAAAAAGAAGAAAGGAAGGAAGGAAGGAAGGGAGGAAGGGAGGGAGGGAGGGAGGGAGGGAGGAAAAACAAAGACCAAGCAAATACTATCTTAAACAAAAAAACAAACTAAACAGTATAAACAGAAAAAACTGATACTCTACAGTGTCAAAAGAAATAATATTGATATTTAAATGTCACTGTTCCCTAAAATATCTAATTTAGTTCTGAAATATTAGACATATCTACACAGCCATCTTATCCAAGACTTGAAGAAGGAAAAAAAATCATACATTTAATGAAATAGAAAAAATAGTCAACAGTTCCTTAGTGTGGTCTATGTGCAGCATTCCTGAAACTCCAGCACTTAGAAGACCGAGGGAGAAGAACTGCACTGAGCTTGAAGCCTCTGGATACTCAAGAAGGACCAGGACATGGGCAAAAAAACAAGATGCTCTATCAAAAGACAACATTAAAAAAGAATAACAGAAAATAGGAAGAGTACTATTCAAAAGTACATAACAATCAAATACAATGTAAAATCCATAACTTTAGCCTGAAAAGAAGAGTTAAAACTATAAAGAACATTATCAGAACACATGAGGAAGTGAATACTGTGCACAAAACCACGATGATTTCAATGTAGCCCAGGCTGGCTTCAAACCCATTATGTAGCCAAGAATGACCTTGAACCTCTGTCTCTGCTTTCTTCTCCCAAGCACTAAGATTACAGGAATCTTCTATGAAGTCTGATTAATATTAAATTTCTTGTCTCTTTCATTTTCTCTTTTCTTTTTCTTATTTTTGTTGGGGAGTGGCACTGAGACAGTCTTACTCTATAGCTCATGGTGGTATTGAAGTCAAGATGATCCTTCAGCCTCAGTTTCCCAAGTGCTGAAATTACCAGTATGTTCCACTAAACGCAACCAAACATCAAATTCCTTAATATTATGCTGGATAGAAGATCGTTTATAGGAGGTAAGTACTGATTATTCAGGGTAAATGAAACATTTGCCATATCTTTTCATATAGTTCATTTCTATTGTTGACCATATATATGTATGTATATATACAAATATATGCAGATAAACAGATATAAACAGATATATAGTTTGATATCAGCTTGACACAAGCTAGAGTCATCAGAGGAGGGAACCTGAATGGAAAAAATGCCTCCAGAAGATAGGGCTGTAGGCAAGCCTGGAAGGTATTTTCTTAACAAATGATTGATGAGGGATAGCCCAGCCCATTGTGGGTGGTGCCATGCCTGGGCTGGTGCTCCTGGGTTCTATTAAAAAGCAGACTGAGCAAGCAATGGAGAGCAAGCCAGTAAGCAGCACTGTTCCATGGCCTCTGCATCAGTTCTTGCCTTCAGGTTCCTGCCCTGCTTGAGTTCCTATCCTGACTTCCTTTGATGATGAACTGTGATGTGGAAATGAAAGCTGATAAAACCCTTCCCTCCCCAACTTGTTTTTTGATCATAGTGTTTTATCACAGCAATAGAAACCCTAACTAATACAGTATGTATATACAGAAAAAGAAAAAGTTCCAATGAAAAGAAAATGTTTATTGTTAAAACCAGGCTACGTACATATGAATGTGTACTGTAGAGTCCTTTCAACTTTCTTTGTAAAATAAAATGCCTTTTATCAGGGTCTTGATTATTATAGCCTCGACTAGCAATGAACTGGTAACACACTTTCCTCAGCTTCATAGTTGTTGAGGTTACAGGCATGAGCTACCAAACACAGCTGGGAATAAACCTTTTTACAACAAACTCTCTGGGCAACAAAGAGTGTCTTCAAGTCATTCATTAGTTCAGTCAACACATATTAATTACACTACTGCTATGTTTCAAGCATAATAGACCAAGTTCATTTAGTCAAAGGAATACAATGGTGAACATGGTCTCCATCTTCATAAAGCTTATAGTTTACTGGAGCAAATACTGTATATACACAAAGGAAGCAAATTAAAGTAAAAATATATCAAGTGATTTCTATAATGAAAAAAATATAATAAAGTAATTAAAAACAATGACTCATCTGTTTTGGATATATCAGGAATGATTTCGCTAAAAGAAAGGTCATTGATGTTAAGTTCCAAAAGAAAATGTAAGAAAATTATAAGCAGACAACATTATTCATGTGTGACAGAACTGACTGAAAGAAAACTGATCAATGAAAAATATAAAATGATACTCAAGAGGCAAGAAAAGTTATTCAAAGTTTTAAGGAAGTTTGGATTTTATTCCAAGAGTAATAGGAAACCACTAACCAGTCTTAAGCAGAAAGAGTTATACAATCGTTCTGACACAGAATTTTTCAAACTGCTCTCACTGATGTGAGGAAGGACTGTAGTGAGGATCAGAGCAGAAACGCACATAGGGCAGAAGGCAGGAAAATGCACTGGCATATGCAATAGGATGGTGACAATGGAGATGAACAAAAACAGATTTGAGAAATTCGAAAGATAAACAGAAAAGAAAATGGAGAATCATGGATGGCTTAAATTATAGGTTTGGTGAGCTAAGTGGAGGTCTACCGACAAGAGAAACCTAAATCCACATTTGGAGTAGAAAAACCAGGCACTATTTTGGCTGTGTCAAGTTTTATTTATTTGTAAACTATCTAAGAGGATGTATATAAAACTTAAACCTAATGAAGGTTTTAGGCATAGAAAGTATAATTCCTATTTCAATGGGGATTATGGTCTTCAGTAAACCACAGAAAGCTAAAATAGTATCTTAAAAGGTTAGTTTTCTGTGGACATTAGCAGCCATAGGTAGGACAAAAACAAGAAATAACAAGACTTCATTTTTTATCAACCTTATTTTTTTGTGTGTTTTGTTTTGTTTTATCTAGGAATGGATAGATAGGTTCCTTCTGCCTGCATCTAACTAGCCAAAAACATATTACAAAATTTAAGAGGTATTCCAAGAATCTTGTTTTCTTAATACATGTTATGGCATAATTGAACCTCGAAAATTTATGTGAACTATCACTTCAAAAAACTTCAACTTAGCATTATTATTCTACTAAATGGACATGGTAATGTGTATTAAAAGGATTCTGTTCAAGGACAGTCTGGTCTATAGAGCAAGTTCCAGGATAGCCAAAGCAACACAGAGAGACCCTATCTTGAAAAACAAAATGACACAAAGAAGATTCCTAATGACTTAATTGCTATCTCTATACATTAGTATTCCTCTCAACTCTCACCAGTGACACTTGTTGCAGAAGACAGTGATGAACACAGAAACTCATACCTGCTCAGTAGGCAAAGAACTGGAGCATGATTGGTCCTAAACAAGAGATACATATCACACCCCTTTCCCCAAGACTCAGTCATCCTCATGGAAGAGGAGACAGAGAACTTTGTCACTGGGGGTGGAGGTGGGGGGTGGGCTTTGAGGTTCCAAAAGTCCATGTCATTTCCAGTTAGTTCATATTCATATTCTCTCTCTCTCTCTCTCTCTCTCTCTCTCTCTCTCTCTCCTCTCTCTCCTCTCTCTCCTCTCTCTTTCTCTCTCCCTCTGCCTTATGCTTGTAGATCAAGATGTAAGCTCTCATCCACTGCTTCACTGCCATGCTCCTTATCATGATGGACTCATCCTAAGGAACCATGAGCCCTAATAAATGTTTTCTCTTATAAGCTGCCTTTGTTGGGGTGTCTCTTCACGGCAATAGAACAGGAACCAAGACAAGAGCTAACAATAATACTGTGGGGTAGGGTGAAGAGATCATGACAGACGAGTGGTGAGAAAAAGGGAGAGTGCTAAGACAGAACAAAAAGTCAACCAGGACGTTAACACCAGCTGTGACAGCAGTTACAAAAGGCTAAGTCCTCGGTAAAAAACAGTCACTACAATCTGGGTAACTTATACAAAATAGTTCTTATGAGTATAAAGCACAAGTACAGAAGGCCCTGGAGGGAATCCTCATACTGAATGGCAGGTGTTCATCATTCCACTTCTTAGCTGTGACTGCAATGCCACCAGACACTAAGCGCCTGCCATGACAGGCGTAGCCTTCGCTGTGAACCACAATAACCCATTTTGCTCAAGTTGCTTTTGTAGGAGTATTTTATCACAGCAACAGTTAAAAAGAAGTGTGGGGGAAACTAATTCAATGAAAGAATGTAGCACTTTTGTTTATCAACTCATCAGCTGAAGGACATTTAGATTGTGATTTTTGTAATTATCAACAATGTTTCCATAACATGCATGCAGAAGCAAGTTTTTAGTTCTTTTGGGCTTAAATCTAGAAATGGAATTGTGGTCACATGGCAATGCTATGCTGAACTTTACACAGAACAATTCAACTGCTTCTCAAAGCAGATGTGATCTTTTTCATTGTTTATCACAAATATAAAGCATTTAATTTTCTCCACACATTCACCAACACATAATATCCATTTTTATTATTGCCACCTAATAAATATGAAGTGATGTCTCACTGTGACATTGATTTTCATTTCGCTAATAAGTAATGTTAAGCATAGTTTTCCTATATATATTGGCCATTTGTCTGCCGACTTTTATAATTATTATAATTTTAAATGTAGTTGAATCAAAGATTTTAGCATGCTATGAAACACTCTCACAATGCCAGCATTTGGGAAGCTGAGGCAGGATGCTCTTGAGTTCATGGCCAGGCTGTGCTACACAGACAAACTCTGCCTTAAACATAAAAATAAATAGAAACCATTATAGTTTACTAAGAAGATTCAATTCAGCTTAACAGGAGACAAACTGGGAACTAAACCATTAAACAAGTAGACAATGAAGGAAACAAGCAGCATCCAAGATCTAAAGGAAAGGAGATCATAGGGCACATGATGGTTAGTTTTAATTATCAACTTGGCACAGTCTAGAATCACTTGGGATTCTCCATAAGGGACTGTCTAGATTAGACTGGCTTGTGGATATGTCTGTGGAGAGTTCTGTTGATTATAGCTGGGGTGTGAAAATATGCCCATTGTGGGTGACACCATTCCCTCATCTGGGACCTGGACTGTGTAAGTTTAAAGAAGCGACTCTGATATTGGTACCTTTTCAATCCTATAGAAAAGTAAGGTAGCCATTGGCTTATATTTTTGTTTTCTCAATCAAGTCATGATTTGAGATCAATATTCCTAACATAAAGCCAACCAGTAAACTAAGAGTTAGTTACAGATGTGCTATAGTCTATGACTGCTATAACAAATTACCACAAATCTAGCAGCAACAAACAACACAAATATATAAACTCATAGCCTGCAGATGAGAACTCCACTACAAATCTTACTGGACAAAACCAAGACGTTGGCAAGGCTCTAGGTCCCTTTCAAATGCTTTAGGTAAAAATCCTTGTCTTGGCCTTTGCTAGATTCTAAAGCCACCAGCATTCTTTACTTCATGGTCCCTTTCCTTTACCCTCAAAGCATTTCTACATCAGAAAACGGTCCCCTTCCCAACTTCTCAATCACATACAAGGACCCTTCTAACTATATTCACTCACAGTAATCTATGATGATCGATGTTCTTATTTTAAGCCTATCTTCAAATTTCTTTTACCATGTACAAAAAAGTGTTCCCAGGTTTGGGGATTAGTAGATGGAGATCTGTGGAGATCCATTCTACCTATACAAACACAGTAAACTGGAAATTATCCAACTGAATTTCCAAAAAGCAGAAAACGGCATCAAATGGCAATCTTTTAAAATAAAAATTCACATTCTTGGGGCAAACCCAAGATATATATATATATATATATATATACACTTTGGGAATGTGACTCAGTGTTTGACGTTATCAAGTCCTCCAGATGACTCTGAAGCACAGGAACACTTGAAAGCCACTGTTCTACATTCTCAAGGATGCTAATGGTCACCTGTAGCCTCGCTGACTCTAGTCATGCACTGCCACGTGTTATATAACCTACCATATCCTAGTTGTGCTAAGAGCAGAGGTCGAGAGCTTGAGCATTCAAAACTGAAACCCGGGTGCTGAGCAAGGCAGGCAAACGCCTAGCACTGAGATACAGTCCCAGACTCTATCACTTCTTTTACTTTGATGCACCTCCTCACTAATTTGTTGAGGCTGGATGGCCTAACTTACCTTGTAGACCAAGCAGGCCTGCTTCCACTTCCCAAGTAGCCAGAATTACAGTCTTGTGTCTTCAAGACAGTGCTTCAAAATTCTAATTCTACCTAGAAAAACAGAAGATGATTCCCTATTATAATTAAATGTTCTAAAAACAAAGTCATTAACATAGGAATCAAGCCCTTAAAGAACATACACACTTTATTAAAACAATTAGTAGGAAAGATAACAAAAACTATAAATATTCATAAATAGTTACTGTCACTTAATATACCAAGATATACAGAATGATCTTCCTTAGAAATATAGCAAAATTCAAGTAATGATGGTCAATAGGAAGCAAGGTTGGTGTCTACATTACTGATAGGAAGATCTGTAACAGAAAGTACGCTGGGGCACATAGTTGATAATAGCTTCTTTTAATATATATGTCAGACACCAAATGACAAGTCTTTATGTATAACGTTTGCTGTGTGCCAGGCATTGTTGTAATTGCTCTACAGAGACGAGTTCACGCCATACTTGTGCATCTTACTTTACACATGAAGGAACCAAGGGGCAGAAAATTTGAGAACAGCTCACCATTCAGAGTCCTTTGGCCCTACATTCTACACCTATGCTATCCATCTCTCACTGTCAGTGAAAGAAATGTCTTTAGCAACTGTTAAGCAGATGTATGGGAGTAAAGAGTCACATGGAAAAAAGAGAAGTTGGATTTGACAGTAAAAACCAACAAGAAAAACTGAACAAAGTGAAATGCAGAGGCCAGACCCAAGTTATGAGATCCCACTATCCTTAGATGTTTGGGGGTGTAGACACCAACTCTACAATCCTGATGTAACTCCGATGGCTGAAAGAAACTAAGTGATTTCAGACTTCCCTAAACCACAAATGGCCCACAAATGATGCCTTAGGTATGGAATTTTTTGAGAAGACATTTTGTTTCAAACATAGAGAAAAAAATTTCATGTGTCAAATATTGAGACTACAGTTTTCAGGCATTTAAGGAGACAACTAAAGAAATGATTAATATTATTTTGCTGTCATTACTGCACTGATTACAAGAGGACTCATTGTCACTTATATAAATGCTAATATTAGCAAAATGTGAGCAGGGTGTGGTGGACTGGGAAGTGAAGGTAAGCAGATCAGTAAGTAGTCCAGCGTCATCTTCAGCTACACACGAAATTTAAGGTCAGTCTGGAATACATGAAATCTTTCTTCAAAAACAATTACATTGGTATATGTACTTTCATTTTGACATATCTGAGATGAAATTACGTTAAAAAAAACACTGTTTCCCATAGGAATATGAGCATAAAGCAGTCCACTTCCGATCCTAAATTGAGGCTATGGTGACAAAGTAGAGACAAAGGCTTATTAGACACACCCCTGCTACAGTGCGAGCTGCTCACTCTTACACAGCAGCCTCTCCAACAAGGAATACAAATTCCTGCTGTATAAAACTCACCGTAGGACTGCTCATGAGTTGATCCAATCCATACATACTAAATCCACTGTAAGATTTGTCCAGAGGCTACTTTTCCTCCTCCCAAACTGCAAATTCAGGGCACTCTGACCCTATTATGTATAAAGATTTTATTAAGCCTTTTTGTTTTATTCCAAGAGGAAAAAACTCCATCATCATCCTCAGTCTTAAAGCAGTAAACAAAGTTTCACTCCAACTACAGAGTCAAATATCCACATAACTGAATATAAACAAAATCAAAAATACCTAATTCAGAATCTCATGCTCTTGTCATAGTACTAATAATAAATCCTTGGGAGCAAAAAGACAGAATTTTAAGTCTTAAGAAGTCTTAGGAAGGAAACCCAGAAAAGGTCTTTGTACTGATATTTGAGGCCATAGAAGCCTGCTCAACATTTTCAGAAATACAGTAACACTTAACTATTCAAATCTTAAGCTGTGAACTTTGGGATAATTTTATAAATTTTCTTTATCAATTGGAATTTATAATGAAATCTATAGCAAACTATTTCAATCACTTTCATCAATCACATAATCATTCCCCTAAAAATACTATCATTACAAACATCTAGTCAAACAGATACTAATTGAAATGGAAGATATAACATTTAGCACTACAAGTCAGCTGTCACTGCTGCCACACCCTAGCACAGAGGTTCTTCAGAGTCTCTGAGTCAGTAAACCTCAAAAAACGAAAAATTGATGGTGTCTTAATCAGCAGTTTCTATCATTCCCAGATTGTTGCTTTGTTAAACCTAACATCCCTTTCAATATACTTCTCATTTTTCCTGTCTTCTATCCCATTATTTTATCTTCCAAAACACCTTAACTCTTAGTGGCATTATTATGTATTGTCCATGCTGCATATTAAATTAGTATGTGCCTTTCCAAGATGAATCACATTTCTAAATTACCAAAATTTCTAAATTACATTTAAACGACCTATATGTATACAGAAGAATTTACAACACTGGTAAGACCTTACATGTTCATGTTGAATTTAATTAAGATGTACTACTTATTTTGGACCTTAAAGAAAAAAATATTCTAATAGAATATGAATGGCACCTAGGAAAGTCTGAAGAGCCACTAAGTAAATAGCTTAACTTCAAGTATAAATCCCTGCGGTGCTGATTAAGAGCAAACTTCCAGGCAGTTTGTCTTGAAAAAAAATAATACTTTAAAAAACAATTACATAATATTATTAACTATCACAGAGAGTTATCCTGAGGTAGCAAACTATCTAACTAAATAATACAAGTCATATCATGATGAGGAAAGAAAGATTTCAGTCCCTTTATTTTATGGGTAGCTTTTCCTAATAATAAAACTTTAAGTAAATAGTTTTTCAAATAGTAAATACACAGTTCAGGAGAAACAATGTTACACTGTCTCCCCTATTTGTTTCAAATAGAGTAAAATGACAAAGCGCACCTACAATATCGTAGCTTGACACTGGTTCCACCAAATCTAGTTAAGAGTAACAGCCTGGCAGGGAGAGCTGGCAGAACACTATTTACACCTACATTCCATCTGACGGCTTTCCAGTAAAGACTATATAGAAGATATAGGTACTCCATACAAACAGATGCTATAGGTGCATCTGTAAAGTGACTGTGCTTTATTCTTATAATATCACAAAAATACTTTAGTCACCTATATTCAGTTAAAAATTTAAAGTTGAAAAACATTTAGACCACCATTTTTATAATCTGTTTTTGAAATGTAAAGCTACTAGATCAAGCAAGAAGCACAATAAGATACAAGTCAAGTCCTCTGAATAAATATTTTTAAATTAACTACTCTGAGATCATAACACTGACAACACTAATTATCTTTTCTTGTCTCGGCAGTTATGGTGCATACTGTTTGGGTGACTGACGGGATAATTTCACTTCATTTTCTCTCAGTTTATTCTGAATAGTATTAGAGAAGAATATTAAAACAATTAACACCTCTAAACAAAGTATTTGATAAGGTTTTGGACAGAAATAAAATGTTTAAAAAATTAATCAATGAACTGATTCTAGAGCAAATAATCCTACAAAGGAAAGCTGGACTGAGCACCACTGACCTCTAGCAACAGCCACTCAGCATCGCATTAACTATCCTCAGCCCTGGCCATGTTGATACCATGCATTTCCTTCAAAGCCATCTCAAAAACAGTTTGAGTGAATGGTGTTTAAATATCAAAAATATTTATTACATATTTAAAATTACTAAATGTAATAGTCACCAAAAAAGTCACCAGCAATTCCAACAATCAAAAACAGGTAAAATATATGTCAGAATAAATTATTTTCAATTTCCTATACCTATAAATATTTTTATTTTATCAATAATGGTACCATATCCAAAAGAATATGATAATATTTGAATTAATATTTAATCTCATATGCAAATCTTTACTAACAGCAATTACTTGGTCACTCAACTAGGAAAAAGTATAAGACATACCAAACAAGTTTTTTATTTGAACAGTTTAATAAAATTTGAACCATATGATACTGTTTGTGTATGTCACAGAACTTATGAATCACATTACTTATACATATTACAATAAAAGATATATTCTTTGCCTTGATCACCTGGTTTTTTGTTGTTGTTTATAAAATTAATCACAGTTAGCAGGGCAGAAATCGCTTTGAGCTTCATGAATGACATCCAAGAGATGGGAAAGGATTAGTTCTCAGTTGCTGCCAGTTATAACGCCAGGTGGCTTTTTCTGCAGTGAAGGTGTTACCGATAATCCCATTACACTGGTACTAAATCTTGCAGACATCAAAATTATCACCCAGGTTCCTTTTCATCCCATCCTTTCCAAATGACTGGAAGTCGCTTCACCTGAAAGAAGTCAAATCCACATGCAGCTGCTGTTTTAGCAGGCAGCAAACTCCCTGAGAATGCCAGTCATGATTCAATTTTGCTGTGCTGGTGGCCCCCTATTCCCTGTCCAATAATACATCTGTTAAAAAATCCTACAGCTACAAATCAACTTTAATCCTACCAGGGACCTCATGTTGGTCTTGTCTTCCAAAAAGGCAGCAGGGTCTGCTGTCTATCTCTGCTAGTGTCTGGGGAATACCCTTTAAATCCCAGTCCTACTTAGAAGAATAAGCTAAGGATCACAAAACATGACCTCAGAAACCCTGATATGACTATATTCTGACCCAGAGGCATTCATTCTAGGTGAAGATTAGAACTTTGCATAATAAGATTACACAGCAAGTGAATGATATCAAGGGACTATCCATATGCAGCCGCCTGGTTCTGTATAGACAGCCTGTGCTACACAATATGCACTGTGGAGAAAGAGCCAGGTCTTTCTAGCTGAAATAAAATAGATTCACATAAATTAGTTGGCCATTTCCAGAGTCCTAAATCCCCTATTACATCTTTTATTGACAGCTCCTGTGAGGATAGCACAAATGTTACTCCTTTTTCTTCTGTGCTCCTGTAACATCATGCTCAGTAATTGAAACGTACATAGATTACGTCTTAAAATTAACGTCTTGTTTGCTGTAATCTTGGATTACAATCGACTGTGTACATAATAAAATTAAGAAATCAATGGATGGAAACTAGAGGTATTATTTATAGAGTGGTTTAACATTGTGT